CTTACTGACATGCCGTTTAAGACTGAGACAAGCTGTAGACGAGTTTGACCTGTGAGACGCAGCTGACGATCCCCGATGTCTGTGCGACATCGGGCTTTCCTTTTTCTTTTTTTTTGGCGCCCTCTCTGCGTGTCATGTTTAGATACGGCACGTCATCTAGCACCATTTCTTCTCCTGGTTTCCCGCGCATCCGGGAAATGACGGGAATGCTAATGGCAAAGAAAGTTTTTCAATCAACTCAACGCGCTTTTGGCTCGGCCGCGGCGTCGCAGTGAAAATACATAGAGCGCCAAGCTAGTCCTGTCAAACCCTAACGGCGGGTTGCTGAGGATCCGTGAGCCGAAGCAAGTACCAAGCGCGTGGCTGCGTCGAAAGGATCTATGATTTGCATTTCTCCCCCGACGAAGGAGGGAAATATAGGATGCGGCTGATATGAGCCAGCGTCGCGGCTTGCTGGCCAACACGCTCACCTCCGCAGCATCAGACCACGCACAACAAGGGCCCGTCTAATTCAGTCACGCAACTCACCATTTGGGATGACCATTCCGAGTGACTTTGTGGCGTTACATGGCCTGCAAGCCAGCCCTGCCCTGCGGACAGGCACCGAGGCCGTAGCTGGGTTGCATGCATCACTCTCGCAGCCAAGCGCTACTGGAACTAGTGTTGGTACAATGACAGGCATGGCCATTGGTAACCCGCCGCAAATGAGGTTCCGTTCTCGTCCTTACCTGGAAGCTTTCTGGAACGCACGAGGAGCACTCTGGCGCGCAACTCGATTCCCGGCAGGTCTGCCAGTTTTCGCTCAGCGCCCTCAACTCAGGTGCAGCAGCCAGATGCGCCCAGCCGCACTGTTCACTATACACCTAACTTTAACACCGGCAAGGCATCATCAAGAACAGGTCCTTCATCATTTGCTACTGCAATACGGAACGGAGACGCTGTCCTCGCAGACGGAAATACGCGCTGCTTAACCAAAGCGGGCATATGTCCCGTTCCGCGGTCCATGCCTGCTTGCGCCGAAATCGCCCCCACTCCGCCGCGGCCAAGTAAGGCCGGAAACCATGGGTAAGACCCGAGGGAGGCGAATGAAACGCTGGCAACTGACTGTGCCTCTTGGGTGCGTTTTTACCGTTGCGTTTCTGAGGCGTCGCATGCCTCTTTTCTATTCTACCTCATCTCCAAGGGCCCTGATCGCCTGCTTGCTGCAGTCTTGGCTGTCTCGGTTCCAGAGACGTCTGCACCAATATGTTTGGACCGTGTCGCACGGCGGGCGCTGTAGGAAATTTGGAAAAACTCTGTCCTGGTCGCACATGCTGCGTCTAATGCCAGTAGGCGGCGGATGGAGGGGCCACGCTGTGGCTCAAGGAAACAAAATGTCGCCGACTTTGGTCACCTTAAACAGACCAACAACAGATGATGTGGTGCCGGATCGTGGAGCACCATGGTTGCCCGTAGAATTCCTCCCTAACTGAGGGGACCAGCGAAGCTCAAGCCACGTCTTGGCGCGATACTCTAAATTTTGTGTGCACAACATCGGATGCTCATCTTCCCAGGACTCCCAATCTTTAGAGTCCATCTTAAAACGGACGAGCAGACGTTTGGTGGACGAGTTTGCCAAGGCATCCGGCTCCCTCAGATGGCTTGAATTAGCCTTCAGCCGAATCCCCCGGCCCTACTGCGTGGGCACCACCATCCCTCGACACCCCCAATGCCTGTCTCCAAATTCCTTATCAGTGTCCACATATTCCGACGACCCACATGATCCTGGGAAGCATGGGGATGTGTACATGGGTCAGGAAGCATGTGGTGTACAGGTACGTCTCCCATTGACGTGGGTTAGACCTGTTGATGAAGCTCTCGCAACCAGCCAAGCTCGTACCACCTTGCAGCCACACCGGCAGAGGGACCATGGCTGTCTTGTCTCCCGGAGACTCTGGAGGATTGAGAAGTCCTCCCAAGATACGGCCCTCCTTCTTTGCAGCTGGAATCCATCTCGTCCTTTTTTATTATGCTTTCCTCCCCACTCCTTGGCTCTGCGCTATTGGCGTTCCCGGCATACAGGACTGGGCAATGGGCTTCCTCCCCGTCCCAACCGTTTGCTACTTTGTCAAATCCCTTCAATCTTACCCACGCCAACGGTCTGGGCTGCCTATCCCTACCCTGTTCGGATCCATCCAGATATACGTACGGCGCGCTTTAGGAGCAATCTCGGACAGCTTACCTCGACGGCCGATGGTGGAACGCCCCGGTCAGGTTGATGTTCCTTCTGGATATTTAGCCTTTGAATCCCCGGCGCGGTCTTCAAGAGCGTGTCTTTCCCCCTTCCTTTGATCCTCCTCTCCTTGCAGCACCCCCCATCCCATCACGTCCCCGTCAACGTCTGTTCGCCGCATCCGAGGACCAGCGTCCCGGCGAAAGTTGAAGATCTCTCGAGGTTCCATACCGTGCTCAACACAACCTCACTGACCGCACACGCGTCGGAGCGCAACCGTCAACATGTCTGCTGGTCTATACACTCTCCCGTACAATGGTACGGAGGGATCGGCCGACGCCGGCTACTCTTCTGGGGTGCAGGATCTCAACGTCTTCTACGAGGTGAGTTCCGCGATAGTAATCCACGACGGATTTGCCTTGTGTGCACATCTAACTTGGATGGAATAGTCGGGTGATCTCGCATGGATTATGGTCTGCGCAGCTTTGGTGCTGCTCATGATCCCCGGTGTCGGCTTCTTCTACTCGGGTCTCGCCCGTCGCAAGTCGGCGCTGTCCTTGATATTGATATCAATGATGTGCGTGGGAGTGGTGGGCTTCCAATGGTTCTTCTGGGGTTACACCTTGACCTTCTCCCACACCGGTTCCGTCTTCCTCGGTGACATGTCCAACTTTGGCCTCAAGGACGTTGTCGCTCAGCCCTCTGTCGGCTCCACCAAGCTTCCGGACATTCTCTTTTGTCTATACCAGGGCATGTTCGCTGCTATTACGTGAGTCACACTCTCTCAATCCCAAAGAGCCGTACGGTTGGAGTTCAGGTTGGATGGCGAAGTTCACCTGATAAACCATGAGCTCACGGCCACCCCCAACTATGGTGATCTGACGAATTTTCAGTCCCGCGCTCGCCCTCGGCGCCATTGCTGACCGCGGTCGCATTCTTCCCGCCATGGTCTTTGCCTTCGTTTGGGCCACCATCGTCTACGACCCCATTGCCTATTGGACCTGGAACGGCAACGGATGGCTGTTCACCCTCGGCTCCCTCGACTTCGCCGGAGGTACTCCCGTCCACATCTCCTCTGGCGCCGCCGCCCTTGCCTACTCTCTGATGCTCGGCAAGCGCACCGGCTACAACAGTGTTCACGGCCTGCCCTACCGCCCCCACAACGTTACCCATGTCGTCCTGGGAACCGTGTTCCTCTGGGTCGGCTGGTTCGGCTTCAACGGCGGCTCTGCCCTTGCCGCCAACCTCCGCGCCGTCATGGCCTGCTTCAACACCAACCTCGCTGCCGGTGTTGGCGGTGTCACCTGGATGCTGCTCGACTACCGCCTCGAGAAGAAGTGGTCCACCATTGGCTTCTGCTCCGGCGCCATCACCGGTCTTGTCGCCATCACGCCCGGTGCCGGTTTCGTCACCCCCTGGGCCTCCGTCATTTTCGGTATCGTCGGTGCCATTGCCTGCAACTTCGGCACCAAGCTCAAGTTCGTTCTCGGCATCGATGATGGTCTCGATATCTTCGCTGTCCACGGCATCGGCGGTATTGTTGGCAACATCCTGACCGGCATTTTTGCTGCGTAAGTTTTCTCTGCCACGTGCGCGCCTTCCTCGACCCTCCACTAACCGCAAACACAGCTCCTACATCACTGCCCTCGACGGCGCCTACACCGGCGAGAACGCCATTGCTGGCGGGTGGATCGAGCAAAACTACGTCCAGCTCGGCTACCAGCTTGCTGGCTCCGTCGCCGGTTTCGCCTGGTCCTTCACCTTGACCTGCCTCATCCTCTTCCTGATGAACTTCATCCCCGGTCTGAGCCTGCGCGTCAACGCCGACGACGAGGACCTCGGCCTCGACGACTGCCAGCTCGGCGAGTTCGCCTACGACTACGTCGAGGTCACCCGCCACGTCTCCGACATTGTGCCCAGCGGCAGCGACGGCGTTCCTGGCAGCTCCGCCCACAGCTCCCTCCCTGAGAAGACCGTCTAGAGGTTTCTCGACAAATATTCCAAACAACTCAACATCACCATAAGAATGCACTCGTCCGTCAATTGATCCCAAGGCGGCTGGAAAAGGGGGCGGTTATTATCTATAATACTCATGTTCATATCTTTGCTTTGATACCACTTGGCATTCGCTTGCTAGACCTACAACTAGTTAAACTTTGGAACAATTCAGAGACATTTGAAGTTCTCTCTTATGAGTTGTGCCGTGAGCCCATGTTCCGCCGTTTTCTTCGCTGGGCAAACCCCGCCATTCCGGTTCAGCACATACCTAAAGTCGGTGAAGGTAGGGCACGACAAGAGAATGCTCCTTAGCACGTTCCATATGGTCAAACCAGATTCCACAGGACAAGCTCCTGGCCCCGCCGTCATCCTAGAAAGACGTCTAGTGAACGCCACCTCATCAACTACATCTCACTTCCCCGCCAGTCGACCTCATCGTTTCAAAGCTCTCGTCCTCAAGCTGCTTCGGCTGCTGACAAAACAGCAGCTAAGGGCAATCATCCATGCAACGTCCAGATCCTACGCATCCTTCGACAATAAGCCGAGCCAATAGCTCTTCGACAAACAGCATTCTATTTTGCGAGGGCACAGTCAGCACTCAAAAATCGATAGGCGAAGAATCAAAGTGCCCCTTTTCTGTTGGTCCAGTTCTAGTCTGACTGTCTCTCATCCGAATACGGCCTGCCAAATTTGACTCGGATTTGGCTTAGGCGCCGAGTCGATCCTGTCCGTGGACTCGCCCACGGACTACAACCAACCAACCTACGATGGCTCTCTTCATCCGCGACATCTACGGCAACGACCCCCCGTCAACCAACCAAGCTTGGCCCGTCACGTACGACGCGTCGTCGCTGAGCAAGAACGCAATCGCCGTCGCAACCTCCATGGGCTCGCCAACCCTTCCCAAGAGCGGCGGGAAGACATCAGCCCCCGTCTCCGCGGTCTCCAATGCTTTTCTCAAAATTGGCGTATCGATGGCACCGCTGTTGGGTTGTTAGCTGTTGATCCGCTGGTCATGCTGGGCAGCTTCCAAAGGCTTTGGTGCCATGGATGGACAAGGAGACTCACGGGCAGATGGCGTTGATCCTCACTCCCTTCCGGCCGAACTCCCTTGACGCGCTCTTGGTCAGACCCACGACGGCGTGCTTGCTCGCAGTATAGGCCCCGTGGAACTCCAAACCGTAGTGCCCGGCCACTGACGAAACATTCACAATGCTCTTCCCCTTCCCGCCGTCCTTCAACGCAGGGATCTCGGCCCTCATGGCATTCAAAACGCCCCTCGCGTTGACGCCCATCACAAAGTCCCACTCGTCGTCCTCAATCTCGGTCACGTTAGCAATGTTGCCCTGCCGTCCGAGGACGCCGGCGACGTTAGCCGCGCCATCGAGTGGGCCGAGCTTCTCTACCGTCTCGGCAATCCACGCCTCGACGGCTTTGCGGTCCCTCACGTCGACAACCTTGAAAAGCACGTTCTCCGCGCCGTGGAGGCCCGTGAGCTCCGCCGCGGCGGAGGAGAGGAGCTCCTCGTTGACGTCCGAGATCGACACCCGCGCCCCGAGCGAGGCAATGTGTTGCGCCGTCGCGAGGCCGATGCCCGACGCCGCGCCGGTGATGGCGATGACCTTGCCCTTTAAACTGGTCATTTCTGCTACTCGTATGTTTTTTTCGACTCTCACGAGGGAAGAAGGTGAGATGACCCGGCGCCAGGATGGGGGAACAAGGAATATTACAAAAACTCGCAACTCGGTGGGTATCTAGGTGCCGCGAAGACCTTGAACAATGCCGAACCCCGCGTACCCCTCCACTTCGTGGGCACGCTGATTAACAGGCTTTGCGAGTGAAAGCCTATCTCTCCACCTATCACAGCGTCTCGGCCGAGACTTTGACGTATCCGTTATCGAGGGTCACCGTCGATTTTCGGTCTAGCTGACTGCAGCCGCGACATATCGGCCGGGCGAAGTGGAGCCGGACGACTATGGCATACCGCCCCGGAGTGCTGCATGACAGGCCGCGCTTCTCGATTAGGTCCTGCGAAGTCCAAACATGACTCGGAGTTGGATTGGAATGGTAAACCCTGCGAAAAATGTCCTGACACCTCGTAGTAAGTAGTAAGATGAAGCTCACTGAAGGCCAACCTTGAACTGTTTCAACAGGGCAAAAGGATGCGTGCGCCGAGGGGGAATCGAACCCCCGGCTCCCCGACGCTGCTGGATGGCAACGGAGAATTTTACCACTAAACCATCGGCGCATTTCATACGAGGGTCGACTTTTTTGCAGCATATGTTAGTTTGCACAGCGAGAATATTGCCATCGCAGTGTTGTTGCCACCCAGGAGCCCAGTAATTTCGACCCTATACTAGCAAAAGTACGTTGTGATACAAGCTTCTCATTTTTTCATGAGCATTACTCGACCATGAACTTAGCTAGACAGAGTTATGAGTTAAATGCCAGTAGGGAATGTACATGCTACAGACGTTGAAGCGGTAGCACGCGTGGTTGTGGAACCAATAAGGACGTTAAAGTGCCTTGAAATACACATGCTGCGAAGGAATCGGTGATGGGAAGGGGTTTGGCGTGGGCGTTACACTGCTGTTGTGGCTAGGAGTATACCGGCTGCTGGTGCCGAAGGTCTCAATAGGTATTCTACAAATGGAAGTTGTTAAGAAACGACTTGGTGTGTTTAAGGGGCTTGAAGATGTCGATGAAGAAGGAATCAGTGATTTATAAACTGCTGTGAACATCTCAGAGGCACTGAGTGGGTTGCTCGATATACAAGGAGAACGGGTCCTTGAGACAGCTAGCCTTCGTGTAAGCGTCTGGCCAAGATTCCAACTCGTTCGGTATTTCGTGCTCATGCCTTGCCAGCGTATAAACGCGATTATACTACATCTTTTCTTTCTTATCACGCAGATGCCAGAAAGGTTCTGGTAATGGTTCATTCAGCCTTATGTATGACTGCAAATGAAGAGATGCTCAAGCAGGTATTAATCGTTAACGATAGGACACTCAGTGCTACTTATTCGACTCGAGTTCATTGCTCCAACTTGAATAAGATTATCATTTCCAAAAGTCCCTCCTAATGTAGAATTTTCCTCGGGGTTATTCTCACGACAAGTAAACAGGTGCAGCGTATGCATTTGGAAGCGGCGGCAGCGACGACGGAATATCTTCCATCGGCTACACTGCCGGCAATGACAGAGATGCGGCTTTTTTAACCAGCAGCTTCCCGCTCAGCTACGGCGTCTTCCGGACAAAGCTTGGTGCAGCCTTAATAAACATGCCCAACAGATGACGTCGATGAAGAGGTCTTTGGCCGGAGCTTATTCTCCGCTATTGTTGAAAATGAGATAAGAATACGTTGTAGCCAAGTCTTCAAGCCCGCGCGTCCACCCTTACTCATTGATATCGTGATTGGGAAAAGCAAACACCCAAACAAAGACCCCAATGTGGCGACATACGCAGCCCCCAGTCTTTGGCGCCAGTGAATTGTTTACTGCTGTACTGCAAAATCTCATCGGTGGCAATCGTATGAGGCCGAAATCGCCAGCGTGCTTGAGCCATCAATGGCACCATTGGCTGAAGCCCCTGGTAGTACCCTGGTAGTACCAGATGCAAATCAGGCTGACGCTTTTAGCCCAGAGTTGAACTAGGGTTGGCTGAGCGGACTGCTCACCCTACATAATCAAAAGATGCTTTTGTTTATCAAATAAACCTTCCAGGCGATGCTGACAAGATCGGCTGTGCTTAAGATATCTGCAGAGACATAACTGTTAGTCAAAAGGCGAGTGGTAACTTGCGGGCCATTCCAGCACTCGGCCGTACCTGCCATGTGGACTCATCCGGGGAGACTGACCGTGGAAGACCCAAGCAACTAAGCAGGGTTCGTATTGTACTGTGTGTTAGCGCCCGGTCGGCAGGTTAGGGTTGGGGAAAGCAACCTTTCCGTCTTCCTTCATGAACCAATCCCCCGAAGAGCCGTGGAAACCGAGACTCTTGGCTCCGTTACCCTGCAGTGCGTGGCGAGCAGATCTTCTGACACACTGCAGTTGAGACAAACTCGAATAATGCTGACATGGGTGTCGAACACGTTTTGTTAGTGCTCCTGGACGGTATCATACATGTAGCCGACGATTTGTGTCTGAGCAAATACCTTTTCTGTTGGATAACGGAACCTACAGCCTCGCCAACTGCTGCTCGGCATCTGCTCCCTCTTCAGGCTCTTCTGCCTTTCCATTCTCCTTCAATGAGGGTACAGAGACTATAGAAGACACCTCAGGGCAATTCATGGAATATTTCCATATGCGTTTCATCTTCTTCTTCCTTTGTTATCTTATCTTATTTTGGTCTCCGACCCTTATCATCTGTCTTGCAGTTACTTTGCCACTGTCTATTTGGTAGTAATCTGTTCAAGGGTGGCACATTGTTTTGTCACGCCTTGCCTTTGCGGCATTGGACGGGAAAATGTTATGTAACCAATCCATTAGGGTCTCCAAACTCTCTGACATTTGACTTACTCCTTGCATTCTGAGTCCATGACTTAAATTTGGTATCTTAGACGGCTGTGCGCCTCGATAAGGCTGATCAAGGATCGTGGGAGACTTGAGGGGCAGGTGTAACGGCCTCAACAGGCTTCTCATCGGCCAATAACCGTTGCTGGAAATATGCCCAGACGACCGCGTATTCCTTCATGGGAAGGTGAAAGATACACCTGTTGATAGGCTTCAACAGCTTGGTGGCTGTCCAATGACGTGTATCTTGGCACCAATCGAGTGCACTGTTGGCTAACATGCTATGCGGTGGGTGCTGTGCAGTAAATTGGATGGTCGGATTGACAAAACCTCCTGCGCCGTTTTTTGACGTTACCATACAATGCTGTTTTGCCAAGCCTTTCGCTTTCGGCGCCCCCTGCTGCGTTTCTCTATTTCTTTTTCTGCTTTTCTTTTTACGTCCTTGATTTTCTCTACTTCTGTACAATGGACGCTAGTTTGCCCATCTTGGCAAAATCCAGTCTCGGGATGATTGCACTATGCTAAGCTGTACTTCGGGCTGCCAGAGCCGACTACTACCAAAGCAAACGACCGCAGATTTCGGTACTTAGTTGGCTAGCAGTCAGACAGCTTGACATCGCACAAAACTACCTGCACGCCGAGCACGCCTCACTACGGAGTTCCGCCACTTTCATCAAGCAAGCACACCTTGGAGTGTTCAACCAATACATATCGGAGTTTGCGGCCAGCCTATCATTCCGGGCATATGGCATGAGTCTGATGCCGTCTCCGAACTGTACGTAGTCGTAGTTAGGGAGGGGCCCTCGCGCGCACTTCGAAGTACATGTCAGACGATATGCGTCCTACTTGTGAAGACCTAGTATTATAACCATAGCGAGCTTCCTCCAAATGATAGTGTCTCCATTCACGCATTACTGTGAGTCTACAATGTTTTCACCATCGTTCACAATGATAATGTTTGGCAGTACTGTGCAACCTGTCGTCCCCAACCGGAGGCTGAATTCATATTGCGCCCTAGATGTAGCAACAGTAAGGGTTATGTGAAGTAGAAAACAACACTGATAGTCGTGAGGTTCAATTGGAAAACCCGGCCGGGGAAGAGAAATGGGAAGGAAATGGAGGGAAACAACATGGGAAGAAACAAAGTCCCCGAACTTTCCATCGTCGCAGTGGTCAGCAGCCACAATCATCCCTCCGATTCCGTGCAGATCGCGCCACCTCCACCCACTGTCTTAGTCCTCCTGACGCTCAGACGCCGTCTGACCCCGTTGGACATAGATACATCATCGTGCCTGCTGTGCATTCATGTTGGGCTCGTCGAGGGGCTGAGAACGCCGCCGATCAACACCTCCTCTCATGTGCCCGGTTTGAGCCTCCCTTTCCCGTCCTACCATTGAGCCCCGCACAGTGGGCATAGGACCTAGGCTTATATCACCGGCAGCCTTGGCAATGTACCTCTTAATTGCTTCGCAGTCACAGTCGCTGTGTTGGAGTATGGAGTTTTTTAGGCAGAGAACCTCGTCCTTCAGGGTCGCAACGCAAGCGTCGAGATACATTCGTTCCTCAGTGACATGTCTGTCCATGGCCACGAGGTCGAGCTCGTGCTGCCTTGTCTTGTCTCGACATCGCTTTGCGGCAGCCCGATTGTTGATACGATATGTCTTTTTATTATCCGCTTTTGGCGCCATCTCGCTCCCCAGCTCTCTGTGATCGTCACATGACTTTTCCGAGTTCTCATCGTACGAGCTTGAAGCTTGGGAGGACGGTTCGTCTGAGGCCCTAACCAGCGCTATTCTTGTAGACTGCTGGAAAGTCAATGAAATTCTTCTAGCAGATGGCCTTACTCACCGCCTTCCTGATGCCTCTTCTCCCCACTGGTGTTCTCTTTTCAGCCCTGCTGAGACCTTGACTGTCGAAGAATGGCTGCGAAGCCGTTGCTGTAGGAGAACCGGGCCAAGATGAGGCCGACCAATACGTAGGCGGGCTAATGAGAACAGGTTGTGGTGATTGGGAATCTTGATGCTGATAGAAATACCAGCTGTCAAGGTCTATCGCCGAACCAGCTGTCATAAGGCCTGGAGTTGTACTGAGCCCGTCGAAAGCCTGTTGCGCTTGATACTCGGCCCCCCACTGTA